CTTAATACAACACCGGGGACCCCAATTAGGGTTGTGAAGAATTTGAGAATTTGTGTAGATTGTCATGTGGCAATTAAACTTATTTCGAAAGTTTTTGATAGAAAGATTGTTGTGAGAGATCGGAGTAGATTTCATCATTTTAAAGATGGCTTTTGTTCATGCAGGGATTACTGGTAGGTTGGATGTATACTTATAATCCATGGACAAATGGAATGAATTCAAATCACAAAGAAGCTATGCATTTCATGTATAGAGATGAAGTTGAATATTGAAAATTTCAAGCAGAGTTTTCCCACTTGCTTGCATCATCTACAAAGTTCTAACTTCTGAGTTTTTCTCCTCTCAAAAATTTCATCAATTTACGTGTGCGCTTTTCCTAAGCTCCTTTTGTTTTTATTGCCTTGGTTCTTTTTGTTTTTTCTCCTTTCTCCAACTTCAACACTTAAGTTGGTAATACCGTGAGGGGGATTCCAAATAAAAGAGTATAAGGTATAGAGAGTGGTGAGTGAACAATGAATAACTAGCCTTTGGGGTTAGGGGTATTTATAGCTGCAAGGGTTAGTGTACACATGGGGAGATTCTAGTAGTCCAAGTGTTCTCTATCCAATGAGTAAACTTTCCTTTTAAGACCTTCAAAATTGGATTTTATTAGATTTTGTAGACCCAATTTAAAGTACTGAGTTATTGTGCTTTATTCTTTAATTCTCATAATCTTAACTATGAACTAGTTTGGTATTTTTGTTGGGTTAATTTAATTAAAAATTTTTATTTTATAATCTCAACTGCAAGATAGCAAACTATTACAATTCGCACAACCGTTTTTCGATTTGATTATTATAACTTAAGGAGATATCGGGCTGGGACAGTCCGCTCTAACAAAATAACAAATCCAATCATTTGGGCCCTAAAAAAAAATCCAAAATTTAGCCGATGTCGGAAGCCCATCGAAAAGTTTCTCGTTTCTGTTCGCTAAAGAAACACTGGCTCAATGAGGGAGAAATCTTTCGCTCTGAAATCCCAACAGACTGATTTCTGAAACACAGCTACCGGATCAAGGTAAGCTCCGTCTCAGATCTCCTGGCACTGAAACCACGCCCTTGATTTCGAAGAACTAATTGTATAGATCTGAGTTTCTTCTTCTCCGTTTCTCTCCATTTCATCTTCGAAAATTACAAAATTTAAGCTTCCAATCCATTCCAGCAGTTGCAGAATTTCCTCTTATCTGAAAATTATTATATGAATCGCTGTTTTCTCCGATTTTTCTTTCTCCGGAAAGTTTCCAAATGCTGCAATTAGGTTTGATATTGATGTGGATTTTCATATTGTTCTGTAGATCCGGCGCTTTCTATATTGTGTAGATCTTTTTGTTTCGCTGTGATGAAATGAGTTATTACCTGTTTAGTTTTGGTGTATGAATTAGATCTTTTAACCTGGTTTTTAAAATTTTTTTTTTTTTATTTTCCCTGAATTTTGCTTCATATTGTGATTCTGATGATACTAACTCGCTCTTCCTTTTCTAGGTTCATTGTGAAAGCTCTTCTGTGGTATTCCTTTGATCGTTGCCTCTCACTGCACGAAAATGGTATCTATATTGTTCTATATAACGATGCCTACTTTTCAGCTTTCTAGCTGATAAATTCTTCTTAAATAATGTTACAGTAGAATTTCTCCTTCTCTCAATTATAGCGTTTTAAAATCAGTTCCTCATTTTGTTTGTGTTTGATTCCATTTGAGAATAATGGGATGTCGAATTAAGTTAATTGTATACCAATTATTATCATAGACTAGCTTGGTTGTAGTTACTGGGTCATATACTTATTTATCTTCTCAAATTTAATATTTATATGTGGGGAAAATATTGCTATCACGCAAAGAAATATAGATGGGTTTTGGAAAGCTTAATTATGAGTATAAGTGCTTCGTTTATTGATATTTCTGTGGGTTTCTTCTTATTCACCTTTTGTTTTTGATTTAGGTTGTACTAGCTGCTTCTATTATGAGCAAGTCTGGAAAAGGTGAGTATCTGCTTGTTCATTATGCTTGTCCTAGTTGGTCTCGTAGACCTTGTTGCTTTGTTTGCCTCCATGTTCTTTTGGAATGTTAACTAAATTGTCGTAGTCACAAAATCTTTGACTGCTCTTACGTGCATTTTGTCTTCATTGCAGTCCTTGTCTCCAGGCAGTTTATGCACATGTCTCGTAATAGAATTGAAGGTCTTCTTGCATCTTTTCCCAAGTTGGTAGGCACAGGGAAACAACACACATATGTTGAGAATGAGAATGTGCGCTATGTTTACCAGCCAATAGAACTTTTATATCTTGTACTGCTAACAAACAGACAGAGCAACATTCTTGAAGATTTGGAGACTCTGAGGACACTCTCAAAGTTGGTAATGATGCTGGTCACTGATTAGTTTCAACTTTCTTCCATGTGCTCATTCTATTTAGTTAGCGCATAATCATTTGCTCTCTTCTAATTATTTAATCTTGTTCTAAGCTATAATTTAAGAAGTTTTAGGCTTGCATTTCTCTATGACATGTTTTTATTAATTCTGTAGAGTAGAGCTAGGTGATTGATTCCTCTGTATTCTTTAATTTTCTAGGTACCTGAGTATGCTTTATCCCTTGATGAGGAAGGTGTTTGCAAGACAGCTTTTGAGCTGATCTTTGCTTTTGATGAAGTCATCTCCCTTGGGCACAAAGAAAATGTGACTGTTGCACAGATTAAGCAGTACTGTGAAATGGAGAGTCATGAAGAGAAGTTGCACAAGCTGGTCTTGCAGAACAAGATCAATGAAACTAAGGATGTCATGAAGCGGAAAGCTAGTGAGATTGACAAGAGCAAGGTATTTGCTTACGAAAATTTGTGGCTGTTGGAGAAATTTTGTGCCTCCATCAGCCTCTCTCTCTCTCTCTCTCTCTCTCTCTCTAAGTCTAAGAAAATTTTGTCAATGTTCTGTAGATTGAGAAGAATAGAGGTGATAAAGGAGGGTTTATGTCCCTACAGTCGATGGGATCTGGAAGAATTGAGAGTAGCTTTAGCGACCTCAGCATTTCTAGCGGTGGAGGTGGTTTTGGAAGTGGTTCTGGGTTTGGATTAAGCACTGATGTTGAGTCCTACTCTACCAAGTCCAAAGGTATATTTGCTGGTCTTCATTTGTTCATGGTTTGTGATTTTCTGATTCTCCATGTCTTTTCTTGGTTGTGTTAAAAGAATTGTTGTTCATTCTGGATGATTGCTTAACAATTGATACAAACTCTTTTAATTGTATATGCTTGTTTCCTCAGGCCGTCAACCTTCAGCTGCCACTGCCCCTCCTAAAGGTCTTGGCATGCAGCTTGGTAAATCCAAAAAGGCAAACCAATTCTTGGAATCCCTGAAAGCAGAAGGTGAACTTATTGTTGAAGATGTGCTGCCAAAAGTTGGCCAATCCAGAGCAGCTGCCCCACCACCTACCGATCCCATCACTTTGAGCGTTGAGGAGAAACTCAATGTTGCACTAAAAAGAGATGGTGGGATTAGTAACTTTGATGTTCAAGGAACTTTATCACTTCAAATTCTTAACCAAGAAGATGGGCTTATTCAAGTCCAGGTAACACATATCTTTGCATCATTTAAAGCCTAAAGAAATATTGGTGTTCTTGGTATGTGTAATTTCTAAGCTTGCACCTTTTCAAATTGTTAATTCCTTAGCTTTGGCAAATTCTTGTAAATGTCCTTTTTCTGATTCAATTTTGCAACCCTAATTTATAGTTTTCTATTTGATTTTAATTCTATTTTTTTTAGATTGAAACTGGTGGTAATCCTGGTGTTCTATACAAAACACACCCTAACATGAACAAAGAGTTGTTCTCCAGTGAAAATATTCTGGGGTTGAAGGATCCAAACAGGCCTTTTCCCGCTGGTCCAGCTGGTGATGCAGCAGGTGTTGGTCTTTTGAAATGGAGAATGCAAAGTACAGACGAGTCAATGGTGCCATTGACGAGTGAGTGTGACATCTTATTTTACTTGTGAGCTTACATTTGCACTATGATTACTATCACATGATCTTTGATCATCCACATGAATTTTGACATATTGCAGTCAACTGCTGGCCCTCCATTTCTGGAAATGAAACTTATGTCAGCATGGAATATGAAGCCTCATCCATGTTTGATCTGCGAAATGTTGTGATTTCTGTACCTCTTCCTGCTCTTAGGGAGGCACCAAATATCAGGCAGATTGATGGCGAGTGGAGGTAATTGAGATTAATCTGAAGAAGTATCTCTTGATATAGAATTTATGTGCCATTTTGAATCCCATTTTATATATTGAAAGTTATTTATGGCTTGTTATTGTTGACATAGTTCTGTGTTACTATGAATCTGATGTTCAAATTTCACTGAGTTGCTGTTTTTATCTTCAAGCTTTAACAAGTGATTCCAAAAGGCTCCAAGGACCCTTAGAAAGGGACTTTGAAAATTCTATTATACTAATCTAAGAAAGTGCTAAATGATGTTAAGTTGTTTGAGATTTTCTGCTGCAGGCCTTCATCAAAATGAGGAACCATGCAAGCAAAACATCTTCCAAATTACTGAAATATTGTGTCTGTTATGATCTGTCAAGTGGGTGATTTATGCACTATGCTTTATTTCTTTTGGATTTGTAGGTATGACTCAAGAAATTCTGTCCTAGAGTGGTCCATACTTCTTATTGATAACTCTAACCGCAGGTCAGTCATGTTGTAGTATGCACTTTAGTACTTCCAAATATCTGTAGTGCATGTCCTTTCTATTTTAGCACTTATAATTGATTCATATTGCTATTATCTTATTGACAGTGGATCGATGGAGTTTGTTGTGCCTCCGGCAGATTCATCAGCATTCTTCCCCATTTCTGTGTGTTTTTCTGCCACTAACACTTACAGTGACCTAAAGGTTTGCTGTCCCTTTCAATCTACATTTTTTTCCTGCTTTTACATCAAAGGAAAATGAAGTTGGGATTTGCAAAGTTTAACCTTATAATGGGCTGTCAAATAGATGCTGCACTGCAAAAATGAGCTATTGAACTTTCAAGGAAGAGTTCAGCCACATGCTATTTTTTCCTCCTTGGAGCTCAAATGTTTTTAACACAATTCCTATCACCTTTTGAATTCGAGTTGGACTTTTGCATTTATATCCTCGATGAACTTAGCATGGATAAAATTTTGTTGCAGGTGGTCAACGTAATTCCACTGAAAGGTGGAGCTCCCCCAAAGTTCTCACAGAGGACAACTTTGATTACGGAGAATTACCAAGTTGTGTGAATGGTTTTATACATAATGGTTTCTGAATTTTTCTTGTACTTTTTGAAGCAGATTTCACTATTATTGCCAACTTTGACGATCGAAACAAGAGATTCTTTAGGTATTATTGCATGCCTCTTTCTAGCAGTTTTTGGAATCAATAGTGCTGTGTTTTACCATTTTGCTAAATTCTTTTTCCATTACATACGGGTTGTCTTTGGATTTTGCATTCACTTAAAATGACATTGGCTCTTTGTTCTAGTTGAATTTGACTTTGTTTTGTGTCCATGTTAATGATCGGAAGCGAGCTCCCTCCGTCTTCCTTTTTGTAGTAATTTGTCGTAATTTCTCTCAGGAAAGAAAATTTAAGTAGAAAATCAGGCAAACTGGTTAATGGCACAATTTTTTCTGGCGTATCGGATTATGTATGAAACGGAAGATACCTCTTCCCCAGTTTCATATTCAAACTTAGAGAAGTTATTACGGAGGTCAAAACTCTTAACAATGTCTTCCAATTTTCCTCCTCAAGAGACGACAATCCCAACAACCCATCTGCATGAATGCCCAAATCTTGCATTCCCAGCCACCATAAACAATCCTTTCCTCAATCAATAATGCCTCAAGAAATGACCCATTCCTATGTTCTAGCTGCAATTCCAACGGCGTTACTCGTTTCTCGCCTCACACCGGTGGTGGTTTGCCATAATATGCGAAGATTTCGAGTGAGGATGATGCTATATCCCTTCCATGAGCATGACTTATATCCAGGGAATGGAAGTGACTGGTTTCTTCCAGCGCCCAATGTTTGATTCCTTCGCCGGAGACAAGGGGAAGGAACATGAATGTAAATTAGATGTATAATCTCCATTACTTGCGAGAAAATGGAACTGTAGAACTAGAAATTCGGAATTTGTAGCATTCTTTGCCTTGGTACTTCAACTATGAAGATCCTTTGTAGTTTGTACTCTTTGTAGAGGATTAATACAAAAAAAAAAAAAGAAGAAAAGAATAGAAGACAACTTTTTTACATAATTTTTTTATGAAACTTTACATTTCAATTAATGATTAGTTTTTTTTATTATAAGTGTTAATTTATTTAATGATATATTAAAATTATAAAAAAAGTTACACAAAAATATTATCCGCATGTCATTACCCAATACATAAATTATCTTTAAATTATCTTTGATGTGTGTATTTTTCTCTTTGGATCAAAACAAATTCAATTTGTATAGAGAAAAAAATATTTTTTGCTCATAAGTTTAGTTTTCATGGCAACTAGTTAAAACTCTAAATGTAAAAAGTTTTTTCACATTTTGATGAGAATTTAAACTTATGTAATTCTCACATTTTTTTTACAGGTTGAACCAATTGTCTTATTAAATAAAAAAAAAAAAATCTCATAAGTAGTGTGCATGGGGTGAGACTTGCATTCTACAAATTCTACCTGTTTAATTGAGTGAAGCTTTAGGAATTTTCACTCAAGGAATGAATAACCATGCCCATCTCCTCTCTAAGAACAAACTTTTCCTACCTCATTCTATTTTCAGAAGAAAATTGCAACTCTTGTTCTCACCCCATGACTTGGATCTCTAAATACAAAATAACAACTCAAAAGTTGAACTAAGATCCTCTTGAATCTTGATTACTTGAAAGGATGGTGAACTTTCCGAATCACATGCAGGTTAGAAGAGAGAGAGATTAGCAAATTGTTCAACGATCTTTAGGTCTTCAACCCAAAACTTAAAATATTGTTATCCCCCTAGGCAAAATTGAGTCAACTAATACATGAATTTCAATTGAAACACATACCATCATCAAAAGGTCAGATGAATAAATGAATTAAGTAATACCAAATTAATCACCTCATGTCGGCTCTACTCCAGGAGAATACAACAGCATGTGCACACGATGGAAAAGTTGTTAGCTCAGACTTAATAAGGTGGTTAAGCCTGGTTACATACATAGAGTGCACTCATCTCCGTCTCTCGATTGGTTCTAGGGAAGGAATTACGAAAAGTAAACTTGAAATATATTCAATCAGAAATGAGATGTAAGTTATGTTCCAGTAATAATAAGGAGCCCTCACAATCACTTCCTCCCAATACATCTTCAAATTTTCAACCTAAAAGTTTCTATTGCTTGTGAATTAACAGAAAAAAGAAAAAAGAAATGGAAAATATCTGCGTACAATGAGACCTTGCTCCTAGATCATCTTCACCGGTATAAGGGCATAGCATAGTATTTACTGACTCCTTGAAGGTTAATGAATCTTTAGCTGCAAAATCACCACATCAACTTACATAAGTATAAGAGATAATAGTTTGATTAGTTAACGAATTGAAATGTGTGTTTGGTAGGTATCTGCAAGTAGCAACATAAATCAAACATGAACCTCTTCAGGAATGGGGCCATCAGCAGGTTGGTCCTTCTGTTGGCTCTCTATGCACTTCAGGAGGTACTTGAAGGTCTCAATCTCACAAGGGAGTGTGAGTGCACCATTGTTATCAAACCCGAACTCCTCCTCTGCCTTTTCCAGCAAAACCTTGAAGAGAGAGTGGCCAAGATAGCTGGTAGGAATGATAAACCTCCGAAGCTCAGGCCCAACATAAACAGCCAAATACCCTTTTGGGACATCCGGTGGTGATTCTGGACTGTGGCAGCTATCCTCATCGGAATCACAGTTCATGACATTGGTCAGTCTCTTATTAATCATCGGCAAGATGCTTCCAGGAGCACGATTTGACTGCGGAGTGTTTGGCTTCGGACCAAGCGTGACAGTTTGCCACTTCTGAAGCATTTCCTTTAGCCTTACAATCTGCCTAATTCCAGTCAGCTTCGCACCACCATTCTCATCCATTGTTAAATTTCCACGGTAAATGGCTAGAAGGGACCCAAGATTGAAGTTTATAATCTCATCAAATCTTCTTCCACTACATGCACACATTTAACTGAATCCATCATGGCCATAAACTGATTCTGAATCAAACCATAAATGCCAAATAAATCCTAATAAAAATTCTTTACCTTTTCTAACAAAAAATTTAAAAAAATAAAAAAAATAAAAATCCCCAAATCCTCAATGAAATACATTTCCATAATCACAATATTGTAAAATTAGCCAAGAAATCAAACAGAATCAGCATCAATAGAACCAATCCCTCCAAATGATTAAGCAGATCCAAGAAACCTCAGGTCGCATAAAGACAAAAATGCATCAAAATTAGCCATACAACATACAAGATCAAGACAAAAACGTCTCTTTCATAGGATTTTTGTTTTTCATTTCTACCTCAAATTAACTAATCGAAATCCACAATGCAATGGCGAAGTTTGTGATCTTTAATTAACCAAGAATGAAAATTTCATGCAACCCACATCTCCGAGATTACATCCAAACAAAGAGAAAAATGAAAGAAGCTTACCTACGAAAGGGATAATGGATGGATGGATGGAGGAGGCTTTAGCAGAGAAGCAGAAGAAGGGAAGCCATTGGAGAATGACGGAGGAGCAAGGTCTCCGGAAATAGAGGGGGAGAGGGAGAAAGAATTTGAAGGGGGCAGCAAAACAAAATGAATTTTCGGAAAAAACGAAATGAATTTCCAAAAAGCTCTAAACTACTAAAAAAAAAAATTTTGTGAAAATCAAGGTTAGTTGAGTTTGCTCGGATTTATAATTGTTTTATTAATTGTCGGAGAAAATTTTTCTTCTGGCAGAGCGTCTGCGTCGGAGCTCTTCCGTTTTTCCGTTATTTAGTACTTTCTGGGACTTCTGTTAGTCGTGAGTCCAAAACATTCAGGATGTTTTTTTTTTTTTTTTTTTT